GGCTATAAGTAAATTCTTTTGTATTTTACATTGATAATATGTCAGAACATTTGCATTTAAACAGATAGAGAAGGTGCGTCAAGAAACGAAAGCTAAGAAACGACAATTGGCAATGGCTATGCGCCAAAAACAGCTTTCTGAAATGGGTATGGAGATTGGTAAAAAAGGACAGGTTAAAGTAAGTGAGCTTTCTTTTTCCCTGTACTTAATGCCTTCTCTCAGGTTTCTTGCCTTTCTGCCGCCTTTTCTTAAGAAGCAGCCGATGATACCCTTGTTTATAACATAGTGGTCCCATCCTCTGGGGTTTTTTTTTAATGCATTTTTTGCATCTATGCAATGCATAAACTCACACTGTCAAGGGGTTGTCTGTGTGTATGTATGTGTGTCGGTGTATCTGTATGTGTGTCTATTCCAAATTTCCATTCGAGACCTACAAAAGCCACAAGACTTAAACTCTGGGGTCTTACTTTACATGCATGTACAAGCTCGTATCCCCAAAATGGACTCAATTGCTTATGTGGTTCCAACGTGCGGGACCGTGAAAGTTTTAGCGGGTAAGTCGTTAACTAGGGAACCACTTAAGAGTTGGGAAGCCGAAATTTTAAGGGGTGTTTTTTGGCAGTTGTCGTGGCCAGTCTCAATACTTTTATTTAGAAGCATCTGTTGAGAAAAAAGCGGCAAAACTTGTGGAGGACTGTGCAAAAACATCTTCGCACCAGCAGTCGGTAAATAATGAAAAAGTTATGAAATGCTGTTTAAATACAGCCATCTCTGGAGTGGAGATGTTTCATATCCTAAATTGTTTCTGTTTAATTTTTAATTTATATGTGCTCGCTTTTTGCCTGGATACTGTCAGAACGGTTGCTGCTTTCGCACAGATGTCACTTGATGAAACGTGTCGTCCGTCGTTGTCAGGAAATGAACACGATCTCCCGTATAGCGGAACTGACTTCTTGTTGATAGCACAGTGATGATGCGCAGACACTCATCGTGTCTGATCGTTTATTTTGGCATGAAATGACTAAATATTTTGTCCTCTCTCAGGTACTAGTGTGAACTAAAATTAATGAGACTGTTGCTTGAGGTATCATCAAGAAGAATAGTGAACGAGCCGCATTCCGTCCAGAGCACTTCGGAGGTCGGTGCATGTTGCATATGCCGCGAAGAAGTTGATGTAGGCGAGAAAATAATGATGGTTAGTTTGTTACTGTCTTTTGCCTACTTATATATTCTCTTATAAGTGGGTAAAATCCGTTCTGTTGCTTCTGTTTTTGCGGTACTCTCAATTTTCGTGCTGTCTGATATGCTTCTGTTTCCCCACGCCTTTGCTCCACTGATGCTTCCTACAAGTTTTCAGCGACATTCCTGGTCTTTCCTGACTTGTTGGCCTCTTCTTGGTAGTCCTAACGTTCGTCCTTCAGTGATTTCAAAGAGAAATGCTAAGATTTTCATCTTTTATATGGTCT